TTTGGTAGTCACCGGTAGTAGGCCAACATCCTAAACGAAAAACCGACTTACTTGTCCCTCGATTTTTGACAATGGATGAAGTTGCGGTTTAAGCATCATAGACCGTGTTAAAAAAAAACCCTGGATATCGAGGTATTCAATAAGTTCGTATATCTTTGAGGTTAATCTAATAATAGTCCAAGACAGTCTACAACTGCACAAACTTTGATTCAAAAGGTCAAAACATTTGTCTAAATAATTAGCACAATCATTTAGTTTCTTTAAAAGCAGAAAATCTTTATTTCCTCCTACTGCTAAAATATTCTTTGACAAATAAATATTAATACCACCAGTTCCCCCACCGGCCAAAAATGAGCTTTTTAGTGGGTGCGGGGCAAATTTGGCGAGGGGGCCCGACCAACAGGCAACCAGTGGGTCCAGTTGCACAATTTTCAAGCTGTAACTTTGAAGATTTTTCGAGTCTCGAACAATGCATAAAAACATCTGAAAATTTGGGATCCGGTAGATTAGCTCGAGACCTTTCTAGAAAACTACGTTGCCACTTGTACGCACCCTCGTACGAGTACGGATTCGCTCTTTTGTACTCGTACACTAGGGGTATTGTTTTTATTTTTGTTCTCAAATTCTGTTAAGAATCTGAAGATGATGCTCACCCAAATGTTGCTTGTTTTGTGTTGTTGCATCATGTAGTTTTTTTTCGGATTTTTTTTATGACTGTTTTTTTTTTTTTTTTTTTTTTTGCTTTTTCGTACGGGGGCGTACAAGACGTACAGGTTCCCGTACAGGTTCTCGTACAGATCCTGTACATAAATAACCCGTACGTTTTGTACGGGAAGCCCCCATACGTGTACTCTATGCAACGTAGCCAGAAAAAAAAATAAAAAAAAATAAAAACATAGTGAAATAATTGATGCACCAAATCGGCATTTTTTTTTTTTTTGTCACTCCGCCAAGTATGGGCTAACATAAAAGTGCCCTAACTTCAGGGATTTTTTGTGCTCAGACCAAGGCAAAAAAACTTACGAAAATTGGTTTCCTAAAAGATTAGGTAGTAGTATGTTGAAGGAAAATATCAAAAAAGTAAAAAAAAAATATTTCGATCGTAAAATAAATCACGGCAGCGATTTGGCAATTTTTTTTTTTTGTTGTTTCTAAGTCAATCCTCCTCAATGTTCTACCGGTAGCCCTCATTACCGTGTGCTACAAGTCCCCTCGGTTTTTTAATGTCGGGAGAAGTGGTGGTGTGATGACATGTAAAACGTTTATTATACGAAAGTCGGGTTGATGCAAAAAAAAAAATAATGTTTATGTGCACAGATTTCTCTATTATGGAAATTGGAACATATACCAAGATACTCTTAGTGTCTATTTAACTCTCTAGAGAGTGTTGAACCATATACCAAGATACTCTTAGTGTCTAGAGAATGTTGAACCCAGGGCAATATTAAGTATATATTGAGATTTGTCAACATGTTGTTTAAGCAAATGAAATAAATATAAAATCAAAGTTTGATGTTGAACATTATAAATTGTTGGATTTTTTTTTTTGTTGGACCAGATTAAGATCCTTATCTAGCGAGAAGGTCGACCTCATGACTAAGAATTTCTTGGCATTGACAACCGCTACACATCAAGTAATGCGAGTGGAGGGTGAACGACTAACTTTTCGATTGTTTTAGATTGCGATACTTGGAGCCAGAAAATTCATAACTTTCTGATGCTCCATATCTAACAAACTATTCATGAAAACTGAACCAAGTTAAAAATTTTTGATAATAACTTTTTAAACTTTATATTTTGTTGCACTTGAAAAATTTGTATTTCATTTGCAGTCACCATTTATTTCAAAAAAATTGTATTTTCAAAACTAATAATAAAATTGATTCAAGAGGGAAAACAATAAAACAATTTTAGAGAGAACCTTAAGGTTGAGGGTTTGTTTGACACAAGAGGAAACATTTTTCGCCAAGATGCATGCATAAGTATATAACAAACTCCTTAACTCGAGGCTCATGGCAGGAAAGCGAGGGTGATAAAGAATTTTGTTTGGGCAGAAGTAGTCAAAAAAATAAAATATTTTAAAAGCAAAATTTTATAGCTAAAAAAGTAATTGATAACATAATAAACAAACATAAAAAAAACAGTAAAATACATTTGAACTATATAGTTGCTTGAACACCTTAAACACTTGTGCACTTTCAAACGACCTCGTTCAAAGTTCGATCTCGCGCGTTCAAACCTGCCATGTGACTCAAGAGGAAGAAGAAAAAAAAGTGTGCCCCCGCCCGATGCGCATACGCCTTAAGTCACAGGGGGCGTGCAGAGTTAAAAATAATAATAATAATAATAATAATAATAATAATAATAATAATAATAATAATAAATTTTGGTGTATGTGTGTGTGCCTACCTCTATCTGTGTGTGTGTGAGAGTATGTGTGTGTGTGTATGTGTGTGAGTGCGTGTGTGTGTGTGTGTGTGTGTGTGTGTGTGTGTGTGTAAGAGAGAGAGACCTACAATAACTTGCGACTGTATCTGGGTAAAAACATTGTCCAAATACATTATGAATGTGGCCCAGATATGACCCACATCCATTTCGAGTATGTATGTGACCATTTTTTGTTTTCCTTTGCCTGTGTGTGTATTTATGTTTGTATGAGTTCGTGTTGTGTGTGTTTTTGTGTGTATGCGTGTGTTTGTGTTTATGTGTATGAGCTGCGCAGGCGCGTTCACACACACACACACACATAATAATCCGGTGTGCACACGCTTAAGCCTGAACACGCATGTTTAAGCACCATGTGTCACAGGAGGAGAAAAAAATTGACGTGGGCCCCTGACCGATTTGCGCACGCTTAAGCCACTGGGGGCAACGCAGAGTTAAGAAAAAAAATAAAAAAAATCCGGTCTAATTGTGTGTGTGTGTGTGTGCGTGTGTGTATGTGTGTGTGTGTGTGTGTGTGTGTGTGTGTGTGTGTGTGTGTGAGAGAGAGAGAGAGAGAGAGAGAGAGAGAGAGAGAGNGAGAGAGAGAGAGAGAGAGAGAGAGAGAGAGAGAGAGAGAGAGAGAGAGAGAGAGAGAGAGAGAGAGAGAGAGGCGATCTATAACAACTTGCAAATGTATTTGGGTGAAAATGTCATTAAAACAAAATATGAATGTAGCCCAAACATGGGCCACGTCCATTTCAAGTCAATATGTGACCATGTCTTGTTCTCCTTTGTGTGTGCTTGCGTATGTGTGTGTGTGTGTGTGTGTGTGTGTGCACGAGCGCTTGTGTTTGTGTGTGTTTGCACACACACACACACACACACACACACACACACACACACACACACACACTCACACACACACAAATAGAGGCTATAGATCAAATCATTGCATCGATCGAATTTCGTTTTTATTTTCGTATGTATATTTGTGTTGTCATATTCGCTTTACACTTAAAAAAAGCATGAATGTTCCAGACTGTTTCGTCGGACTTTCACCGACTCGTCAGGAGGTTGAACCCCGACAATCTGCCCCGGATGCATTTGACTGATGGATATGGACTGACCACATCGCCTAGAGTTAGCGATACCCGTGAGAAAAGTGGTCGACTTTACTCACACCAACCTTTTGTATGTTGTTTTAAAAGACCCCGAATTCTCTGTCTTATTCCCTTCAATAAAATCATCACAAGCCATCCATAATGGAAAAGTATAGATAGGCAGTATAATAGAAAATGCAAGGTTGGCCACGTTTGTGTGGGTTAGCGCCAAGAGCCCACACACTCGTCTACCACCAAAGCGGCACACTGGCACAAATACATGTGCATACATATATATTTCAAACCATAAGGGGATGGAGGGCAGAAGGCAACTTAGCTAAGACAGAAAGACTACTCCAGCAAGAAGGCACCGACCGGACCGCCTCAAAGGTCTGAAAAAACTTCAAGAGCCTTCCACATCTTCCCACAAAACCAAAAACTCATTTACCAAAAACAATCAAACATAACAGCATTGGCATTCCCGACATTCATCTCAAACTACACACTCGAGTCACTGCCAAAGAGGAGGAAGAAAATAAGAGACAACTTAAGACAGAAGATTCCTTCAGAAAGAATGCACCGACCCCCCTTGCTAAGGGTCTGAAAAAAAAAACTGGGAAAGCCTTCCACGCCGGCCCACAAAACATACATTCCCCCCAAAGAGAACTCGTGGCCACCCGTAAACATCCGAACAGCCCATAAGCAACAAAACCAACAAGACATATCCAAGTGTGTCTGTGTGTGCGCAGGCCGATTTCCCCTTCCTCCCCCTCCCGGGGTGTTTCAACTCCTGGGCAAACCCGTTCACACTGTGAACGCGCGTTCATGGAACGCGTTCACAGCGTTCAAATCAATGATTGAACGCTGAACCCGCTTTCACTGAACGCGCGGTTACACAGCCCGGGGGCAGGGTGGTTAATAGACAACCCCTAACAGACCAGAAAATAGGTCGGGGCCCAGGTCCCCGTTGCGGATTTTTCATTTCTGGCTTTCGATCTCTCGTATCTGCGGTTCGGAACGGAGAATCCGTGGAAGTAGAAAGTTGGCTCTGCCCTTCGAACAATAGGCACGGTCTGTGGGTGGTGTGTTGTGCTCTGGCCGAGTAATCAGGTACACAGAAATTCACCCCATCTCACACTATAACTTTTTCCAGTCCTCTGTGGACGTCATTGCGCTCAAATGCATCCACACCGGGTCGGAAAAGCGGGTATATGCGTCCAGGGCATACTCAGGGCAACTCCTGTTGCGAGTACGCCCTTAGATTAGGCCTACTCCGTACGGTATGACCTCGGCCGGGCAGAATCAGCAGCTACGTCAGTAACCCAACCCGATCAGGTACTCAAAGTTACCCAATTACCATTTACCAGGGCCGGCCTGTCAGTGAGCGTTGTGGAGTATTGAAGTAGAAGACGAAAACGACGGAGGACGTTTTGGCTGTTCCACAGTGCACAGTGGCGCGCTGCACTGTTCGTGGGTGCACGCCCTCTGGCGATATCTGGCCGAAGGAGTGACGGGAAGCTCCCGGGAACGTGCCTTGTGCCTTAGCATGTCGTCGTTGTTAACGTTCTGGCGAAAGAAACAGAAACCGGACGTGAGTGCACTCGATGACGAAGGTGTCAACGTTCAGACGAGGGAATTTGACGTGACTGCGACGCGTGCCGCGAGCTACCGGTCGTTGATCGCCCGGCAGTCCTGTCCGTTCGCGCTTCGCAGACGGCGTTGGCAACGCGGTGGCCGGTATCGGAGTCGGCAAGCGGGCGCTTTGCTTGCTGCGCCGCCGCCGTTTGCAGTCGGCGGCAATGGCGCATTCCAACTCGCCTTTCGGGGACACCACTTACACGAAAGTCTTTGTCGGCGGGCTTGCATGGGAGACCCAGAGGGACACCATGCGCTCTTACTTCGAGCAGTTCGGCGAGATATTGGAGGCTGCCGTCATCACTGATCGAGCTACGGGTCGCTCCAAGGGTTATGGCTTTGTACGTCTTTCTCCCTCTCTTCCTCTGTGTCTGTGTGTGTGCGTGTGTGTGTGTGTGTGTGTGTGTGTGTGTGTGTGTGTGTGTCTGTGTGTGGGTGTGTGTGTGAGGTGGCTGGGCACGGCGCTGCACGCGCGCGCGCGTTTGTGTGTGTGTGTGTGTGTGTGTGTGTGTGTGTGTGTGTGTGTGTGTGTGTGTGTGTGTGTGTGT